CCTATCCCCTGTGTGCCTTGCCTCCCACGACTATCTTGCTGTATTTTTAAAATAAGATGGGGAGAGAAAAATCAGCCTTACTCATATGCATATTTGGAGCAAACCAAACATTGGTCGTCGTTATTCATGTATTACTGGATTGTTCATGACATAATGGTATGTCCTAACTGGACATTGGTTTGCCTACCTACATGTTATCAGTGTGTGTCGGGAAGGAGCCCGTCTAAGGAAGTCGAAATTGTAAGTTCTGGACCTGTATATTCCTTGATGGTAGTAGGCCCTGAAGGTTTAGTACATAGGCTTTTTTTTTTTTTAATTAAGCAACGTCTTACATGTCTCGATGGTTACTATTTTGTTATTCTTTTGGCAGGATACTACATTGTGACTTTTCTGTCTTATTTTGTGCATTCATTATCTCTTCATCTGTTTGATAACTCTGATAATAAGATATTTGTGACCAGGGGCTATCAGCAGGACTACTAAGACAAGCTACCTACACGACAGCACGTCTTGGTTCTTTCAGGTAAGCATGTCCATGTGCTTGAAATGCAATATTATCGAAGTGTCCTGGTTTCAGGATGAGGCTTGGTAATCTGGATTTTGTTATACATTTCATGACATTGTAGTTATATCTACTTTGAACAATGATTTCATACAACGGTTACATCATAATATAATGCAACAACCTTCAAAAACGATGTTATGGCCATTTGCTTGATCCAAATTTTGAAATATACACTCTTTTCATTTTAATGAACAATCACAAAAAAAGAAAAAATTGAAAACACAACCTAGAAAGTATTTTTTTAGCCCAATTAACATAGGCCGTTCATTTTGGTGAGATACTTAGATCTAGGCCTTAGAAGGAATTTTTTGATTTCCAATCTTTTTGGATGACTTTATTATCATTAGATGAACAATGTTAAAAAAGAAAAAAATGATTTTGAGTTTATAAAAGCTAAGATCTTGAAATTCACCAAATGAATGGCCGAGATTCGTTTTCGGAAGGGACTCATTTTGACCATATCTAGGATTCAAATTGAACTTTTTTTTTGGGATTGATAATTGAGATGAAGAGTGTGTGTGCCAAATTTTAGGTCCTACAAATAACACAAACATGGTTTTCTAGAAGTGTCGTTGGATTAATATTATGATGCAACCGTTGCATGAAATCATTGCTCATCTACTTTACGTGACTTTCTTGTGGGCATTATTATGTGTTAAGATAGGGGCTTGTACATTATATCTATACTTGAGTTGTAGATGTGGGTGTCAGCTTCGTTTACTAATTGAGGTGTGGTCTCAATTGCACTCACAGCACTTCCATTGCTGTAAAACATGATGTCTAATCTATCAGATGCGAACATTTGTTTTTTTGCAATAAAGGTGCTGGGGTTTTAAAGGTGTGTATGTGGTGTGATGCTGTGACCGCCCTAATGAACAGGGTTGAATTGTGTATACTTTTGGATATCAATGCTTACCTTCACGCATGGGTTTTGATATATAAAATAAGATCTAGATCATTCATTTGGTGCTTTCTTCTGTAAGTTTTGCTCATGCAGGGTTCTTGAGATTATTGGTGTTTGAAACACATGCGAGGCATGGAAATCAAGCAATAAAAAAAATGAATTTCTTTCACCAACCATTATCTGTTTCTGAAACATAAACAAACGCACCAATTCATAAGTAACTCGATTGATTATGGAATAATTAATACCCCTGCAAACCCCCGCCCAAAAAAGAAAGAGAACAAAAAAAAACAAGAAGAAAAAACTATCTATTCAATATGCTGCATAGAGATCTATACTATTACATTGGAGAGAACAATGTGCTTCCTTGTAAGAAAGCTATATTTTCAGATAATTATCATTCCTTTTACTGAGCTTTCATTTCAAACTGGAAACTAACATTTCTTTTCCATTCCATTGGCATTTGTGTGAGTACATGCATGCAGACTATACTTGCACATGAAGTCATGAGCTGTCCTAGCTGGCTTCCAATAGGGGTGCAGCTTAGGTTTTTGCTCTATTGTATAACAACTGACTAGGTATGGTTATATCACGTAATTGTGATTGGCATGGGTTGAATTCTGAACAAAACATGACTTATGGCTTATAGTTGTGATATTTATCCTCAGATGCATAATCCTCTCATCCTCTATATGCGATGATGTAGAACAGCCGCCAGGGGGAAGGAATGGTTTAGACCTTTCAGTTATATGTGATGAAATTTGGTCTGCCTATTAATGGGTAGTTTTGTAGTTTATAAGATATGAGTAAAGATCATGTAGGTTGATTTTTTGTTTGACTAGTTTTTTCTTTTTGTATGATAGTTCAGTGGGGTTTCATTTACACATTTGCTTATTTTTATGTTTTATTTGATAAGTGCCTTTCTGCTTGGTTTTCATCCTTGAATGACATGTATTTCCAAGTTTCTATTAACAATACTTTTTGCTTTTGTATTTAGAATATTGACGAACAAAGCAGTTGCCGCTAATGATGGAAAACCTTTACCTCTTTATCAGAAGGCTCTTTGTGGACTAACCGCCGGAGCAATTGGAGCTTGTGTTGGTAGTCCAGCTGATTTAGCTCTGATACGTATGCAAGCTGATGCGACTTTACCTGTGGCACAACGTCGGAACTATAAAAATGCATTCCATGCACTCTTCCGCATTGTTTCTGACGAAGGGGTTTTAGCTCTTTGGAAAGGAGCTGGTCCCACCGTTGTGAGAGCTATGGCACTAAACATGGGCATGCTTGCCTCTTATGATCAAAGTGTTGAATTTTTCAAGGACTCACTTGGATTTAGCGAAGCTAGTACAGTAATTGGTATGACTTTGGCCCTGTTTGGATGTACTAGTTAGCACTGATAACTCACTGGTTCAATAAACTTGATCCTGATGATAAATTATTTGTTGTTTAGCAGTGTCCATCATAAAGTAATCTGAGATAAACTTCTAGGTAGTTCTACATTCAGGTTTATCTTTTTACAGAACTGTTTTCACATTATTCAAAGTAACTTGCTGAAAATAATATTCTTTTTTGCCAGGAATAGCTAAAAATAGCTGAAAGTCACTGAAAAAGATAAAAGTTAAAATAATATTATACATAATACAAGATACATACCAAACAACTAACAAAATATTATTATCATAATATATTAATTTGAACACTTATCCTGAATTTCTTCACGAGTAATATTATGAGCTTTCTTTCATTTAAGAAGAAATTTTCTTGCGGATTACATACTTAGCTATCCATCCAAAAAATGTTCTTGAGGATCACCTCCAATGGACTAGTGAAATTTGCTACTAATTTTAGCTTTTCTATGTTCTATTTGTCTTTGAAGATAGTATGAAATATGAGTTACTCCATTTTCTTATATTGAGTTGTTCTATTTTTGTTCATGTTTGGGGCTAATTTAATAGAGCTACATAAATCATTTGTCCCTTTGGTAGCTGCATTAGGCGTACTTGAAGTCTGGTTCACATTAACTTGCTATGCTGCATAACATCAGAATTGGTGACTTAGGTATCATCGTTGCTCCTTTCAAAGTGTAAATACTAGCATGAGGCGCATTAGGATGTTCCAATTAAGGCATTGGTCTGACCACACTTGTGTTGGTGAACTGTGAATTAAGTCTCTTGTGATCTCCTCCTTCTAAGCAGGAGCTCTAGGTCTGGGAAACAGAATTTCACAATGGAAGCTAGTTTTTCCTGGGTTGCTGGAATTTGATAGTATTGGATTTATGTATCGTACAGAGATTCATTAATTTCTTCCTTTTCCCTTTTTGTTTATTTAATTTTGTGCTCTGTTTATTGTCCTTGAGATTCGATTCTTTTTATTATTCCATTGGAATTAAGCAGGTTCTGGCTGTTTGCCTCACATCTTGAGGGAATTTGCTATGCAATTAGCTTCTTTTAAGTTTGCATCTTCCCCTTCCCTCTCTTGAAAATCTCCAGTGTAATGTTTGCTAATCTCAGGAGGTAATTTATATCTCCTCAACACCCCCCTTTTGTGCTACCCCACCTTCTCCTCTTCGTTATTGCTGATGTACGTGGGCAGTATGAAGCCATGGTATTCTAGTTGGGTGTATTCTTGGAGATTGGATTTAAATTTCTATCCATTCTCAAGATTTACATGGCCTTAGATTAATTGCTAAAAGGCTCTGTGAAGCTTGTCCCAGGTGGATGGTAAAGGAAGACTAGGTTTCATACAGCATAAGTTTTCACCTGTCTAATGCAAGTGGGATTTGCAGTTCCAATGTGGTCTGCCCCTTGTAAGTTTGCTTGCAAGGGCAGTTACAGGAAATTATGTGCTTAACAGAAAAATAGAAGAGATGGTAACACTTGGCTTTTGAAAAAAAAAAAGGGCCACTGGCCTGGTAGCCATAAGCCTTGTAGAGACTGCTACAAAGTTTTATGCAGCCTGATATGGATCGACACTGTAATTGGCAAGGCTTTGAAGTTGCATTTGTTAGATCTTCTCTCTTACTCCATTCACTGAATTGCATAGCTGATCTGCCTTAGCTGCCCCAGACTGCTTGATTGCATCCATTTACACTGTTAATGGCGTCAATTTTTGCTGTTTTCTGCTAATTATGTATTATGATAGTGGGTCCTGTACCTAACTATGTAACTTGGTATATTTACTCGAAAGATGAGTCTCATTGTATATATTGGGATAGCTGCTTTTTAGACTTCAAAGGCTGTTCATACACTTCATTACTCAGTGAGGAGGGAGCGTTGTTACTCGGTGAAATCTTTTTGGGACTTAATAATGTTCTCTGTCATCAAAGAACCTCAGATGAGTATTTTGACTATTTGGAATTTTATCTGATACAAAAATAGCAAACTAGTTGTTTGTGTAATGTATATTCTCCAATTCCATATGTTGTTTAATTGCATGTTTTACTCAATCTCGGATTAGAGTTTCCTAATATTTTTACATGTCTTGCTTCTTATCCATTCTCCATTGTCACTAATTCAGCGCTAAATTATTTTTCCTTCTGTCCTTTTCTTCTGAGTGACCATAATCTTTTTCACCTTTGTTTGATTGATGACCGACAACCCTCCTCATTCGAATGCAGGTGCAAGTGCTGTCTCTGGTTTCTTTGCAGCTGCTTGCAGTTTGCCTTTTGATTATGTAAAAACCCAGATACAGAAAATGCAGCCAGATGCCACTGGTAAATATCCTTACACCGGTTCATTGGACTGCGCCATGAAGACTCTCAAGGCTGGTGGACCCTTCAAATTCTACACAGGATTTCCTGTGTATTGCGTTCGTATTGCCCCTCATGTCATGGTAAGAGCTTTTACCATCGTTGTGGAAGATGCAGTCTTCTACTAATATATTTGTTGTTTATAAGTTGGCTGATTGTTGACAATTGCTAGTATCTAATCATTCGCAATTGTTTAATGTGGGTTCTTTTGCAGAATTGCTATTATCTAATCATTCGCAATTGTTTAATGTGGGTTCTTTTGCAGATGACATGGATCTTTTTGAATGAAATCCAGAAACTGGAGAAGTCTGTCGGTTTGTAGACCTTGCTACCGAGAAACTCTGTACGAAGTTTGTACTTGATTTGAGCAATAATGACCTCTTGGCTCTGCGACGTGGTTGAGGCTGGTTTTGGTAATTAGATATAGTCCTCAGCCCATTTCCATTAGTGAATTTGAATGGGATTGAGAGTAGTGAAAATAATTCTCGGGTGTTTGATTGGCTTGCTGCACTTAGCAGGATTGATTAACGGGAATTATTTATTAGCAAGCGCGCAGTTTTGACAAGCTTGTTATACACAATGAACATTGCTTGATTTTTGGCGTTTGACTATGAATTGCCAATTTTCTGCAAATTGCAGAATAACTGGTTATTGATTGGGTAAATGGTGGCCTGGTGGGACTTTTGCGAGGAAAAGTATGTTGGTTATATGTCAAGTTAGTGTCGCTGTGTCACAAGTTTCTGAACCTCGACCATTAGAGAAACCGCCTGCCTGAAACCTTGCATCCATGGTGTGTATGCATTTGGTTTTGAGGATGCTTTCCGCATCTCTCTCTCTCTCTCTCTCTCTCTCTCTCTCTCTCTGCCGTCTCTCTCTTTCTCTCCCCCTCTTCCTTCTATGATGCTTTTGCAGCTTTTTCACTCTCGCGCATTTGTGCTGCCGTGAAAAAATCTATCAACTTTGTGTTTTTCTCTACGATAACATGTTCCGTTTCAAGAGTAGGATTTCAATTTAGTAAGGAATGGGTGGAAATCTCTTTATCCTAGTAATATTTGGATTTGGGAGATAGTTTGAACTAGTGAATAGATAATTCCAGAGCTGACATGGAACAGCCAAAATCAGCTTGGGACTTCCGTTTCAAGGGTAGGATTTCAATTTACTAAGGAATGGGTGGAATCTCTTTATCCTAGTAATATTTGGATTTGGGAGATGGTTTGAACTAGTGAATAGACAATTCCAGAGCTGACTCGGAACAGCCAAAATCAGCTTGGGACTGGTCGAGGGACTAGCCCGAGTTCCCCACAAAATCACGAAAGCCGAGTACCCCACAAAATTTGGCTAGTAATTAGAAGGCGCATTTATTTGTTTTCTTAAAAACATCGGAAAGTGGATTTCCAGGTCTGGAAGGTTTTTAATGGCTTCCTAATCGAAGCGTGCAAATCTGTAAGCTATTTCTTACGGATCATAGGAAAATCTTGCCTATTTTTTGAATATGCATTCATGAAATCCGCAATTTTGGGCTTTTTTACCAAAAAACTCACAATTAAAGCATCAATGAAACTATTGCCAATTTTAGGGCCATTTAGGCAGTGGATTTGCAGTTGTTTTGGGGTTGGATTTAACTACCACTTTTTGGCTGTTCTTTAGGTGGATTTTCAGGGTAGTTTCAGTTGTAGAGAAAAAGTAGTCCTGATTTTTAAAGGAAGAGGAAGATGGGTTACCTGGTCGCTTTGGAGAGAGAGGGTTTGGTGATGGTTTTTGTGGAAGGAATATCAGACCAGTAAATTGATTCGAAAGAGAGATTAGACCAGCAAATCGACTTGAGAGGGATTAGGTGATTGCTTGAGAGGGATCTGAAATCTGCAAAATGGTCTGTGCAGAGAGGTCACATGCGCAATATCGATTATGAGCTTGGAGCTGCAAATCAATGAGAGAGAGAGAATGGGGGGTAAAATGGACTTAGTTCTTTCAAAAGAAAAATTTGGCCAAGCGGGCCAAGCTGGATCATAGTTGGATTGGCTACTTGGACCCAGTGGATGACCGGTTCGACTGAACGATCTCACTTTTTAAATGTTGAATTGTTTGTCCAATGTTCAAACTGGTCTTTCACTCTCTTATAAAAAATAAAAATAAAAATAAAAATTTATATAAGTGCGAGGTTCTAAACAACTAAATTAGGGTTAGGGTGCACTTCAAATATTTCATTAGAATAAGTTATTGTGATGCCCATCCATATAACCTCAAGTTGATCATCTCGACTTCAACATCCATGGACATGAGAAAAAAATGGATTTCAAGTTTTAGAAATAGTGTGTCTTGCAATGCATTTTTGGATTGTCAATTTGCAAGATTTTCAAGTTTTCATAGATCTGTGCGATCTACACTATTTTTTGAAGCTTTAAATTTTATAATTAGAAATAAAATATATTTTAAGGCTATCACAAAGATTTTCAGTGTTGCAACATATTTCTTGACACTATTTGAAGGTGTGTTTTACTTTGATTGTTTAAAGCCTCGACCTTATACAAACCGCACCCTTGTTTTATTCGTGATTTGGAATTCTTTTTTTTTAGGTTTGGAACATGAGCCGAGGGAGTAAATGAACAATATGCTCCCCTTGGGAAGATTAAATATTTTTGGCTTTTAAATTTGTTTTTGAGTTTACATTATCTTTGTGATCCCACACAGAAAAGTATTGAGCGCGTTCGCGTTAAACACCAAGAATAAGAAAGGGGCTGCGATCGTGGAGGTAGCAGCCCACACTCTAGTTACCATATTGTGGTTTTCATTCTCATTATTAACACCACCACACTAACAATTTGAAAAAGTTAAGTCCTAATCTACTTGAAAAAATGGGTAGGGCCATGTCGTCCTCATTGAATTACCATAAAAGAAAAAACACCAAAGGGCAAGAAAGAGTTATGTATAAAATACATATATACATGAGGTTTTCCATAATTGGAAAAAATTTATGTGAGGTTGACATGTTAAATTTGTAAAATTAAGCTGCACTTCAAAACTCTATAAAAAAAAAGCTATTTTGATATTGGAAAACCATCTAAGCAATGGTTTAAAAAACGGATCGGTGACCTGGATCGGGCACCCAAAAAACCGATCAGGATCGACGAATCGGCGATCCGAATCGGGAATCGGGTAAATCGGTCAGAATAAAGCTTCAAAAAAATCCGAAAAATTATTAAAATTCATTATAAATATTATTTTTTAGGAATTCAATAAGAAATGAGGGTACTCCATTAAGAATTTTCATGTTTTTTAATGAATATGCGAATATTGATATGTTCTTTCCATGCATGAATTGCCATTCAGCATTTAATTTACATCACACAAAAGGATAAACATAGAATTATCATGAAATAAGTATATCAACATACATGGACTACAATAAAACATAAAATTAGTAACATACGATCTAAAAATAAAATGATAGACGACGTTGTTGTTCTTCTTGGTCACGCTGGTGCCATTGATTGAATTCGTTTGACAATTCATTGATTCGATCTAAAAACGAATCATCGATATTAGCAGGCATTTGACTATTCCCAAATCCCTGAGTGTTAGTGTTTTGTTGTGTTCCCAATCCAAAATCCCCGAAGCTTGTCCATCCTTCATGTTCACCTGCACTGTCGTGCTCATCCCTACACTGTTGCTGTTGGGACTCGATATGTGAATAATATGGCTGGGATAGGGTCGCCTCAAAATCATTATCTCTCTCATTTTCTCTTAGACCCCCTTCCCACTCTCCCTCATTAGGTGCAATATCACCGACATCTCCGACGAATTGTGGATACGTTGGCTGGCTGCTTCCTCTTTCATGCTGCTCATCACTTTCTTCAAGATCTTCATCACCGATAGCCTCAAGGAACGCTCTCTTGTGCAACACTAGCTCCTCCTCTTATACAACCCATTGGTCTGCTGTGTCTGTGACAAATATTGTGTCTAAGTCTATCGGCCCGTAGTTTTCAAGCTTCTTTCTTATTTGTCGCTCTCTGAGTTTTAAATTATAATGAACGTAGACTAGTTTATTAAGCTTCTCAGAAGCGAGTCGATTCCTCCTAGTAGTGTGCAACCATTGGAACGTACTCTAGTTGTGCTCACAGCCAGTAGCAGAACATGTCTGGGAGAGCACCTTGATTGCTATCCTCTTTAGGTGAGGTGCATTAGTACCATATATCTCCCACCATTCAGCTGGATTAAAATGCAAAAAGCATTGTAAGGGTAAGAACAATTCATAAGATTAAATATATGAATGAACAAAATATTAGCGAGGGGATAACCTGGATCCATCATAGTTCGAGAATTTCTGGTAAGTCTAGTTCCGAAGGATCCTATAGCATCCCTATACATAGCAAGCTAAAACAAATATATTACGTTTTAGTGCATTATTCCTCACAAATATAACAACTCAATGAAGTTCTTACCCAAACATTAAATAATACCTCTTGTATTGCTGCTACTTGGTTTCGATGGCTTCTCTCCAACCTTGCAATAATGTATCTGATCCCTTCCATAATCTTGTGGGGTTGTTCAGGTGTCAAATAAAAAAATTTTGGGTTGAAGTAGTAACCTAAAAAATATATAGATAGAAAAATGTCATTTACAATTTCATAAAAAAATGATTTAAACTGAAACATTGTAATGATATAAATATATATTTACCAGCATAACGAATTGGACGTCCAAATTTGGTGTTCCACCTCCTTTCTATAATCTCGATCACTTTGCTAGCAAAATTACACTTCTCCCCAATAGCTGATTTCGCCCTCTCAATACCTTCATAAATGATACCCATGGTAGCTTTCTTGTCATCGTCCACCATTCTTAACACCGTGACAAAAGGGGCAGTGGCCTCTACAACACTGGAACATCGAGACCAGAACTGCCTATTTGAGACTATGTTGTCCACTTTTATACTGGTACTGGTGTCACACCCCAAGAATTTACAATACTGTTATTCCTGAGATGTGACAGACAAAACATATATACATCTATTGATAGGACAAATTTACAGTGGCGAGGTCTTACAAAGTAAATAAAGAAAGCTAGTACAACAACAGTATCTTCCAAGGTTGATCTTGACTAACACTCAAAATGAATCCGCAGTTATCCTGAAAAAAAATGTTTACCATAGTTTGATGAGTTTGGCTACTCAGTAAGTGATCATCATAATCCTAAAAATAATCATGATTGGAAGATATCAATATTTTCCAAAATGAGATCTATTAACAGAAATGCATCAACAGTTTCACTTTCAATAAATGCATAACTAAGTATAATCCGAATAATTGAAATGCTTATAACACTTTTAACGGCAGTACATAATTCAAAGGATTTCACAAAATACCCTACTGGCGTCCTAAGTAGGTCACCTATATACCTCATCAGCGTCCTGATGGGTCCACTTAATCCCTATCGGCGTCCCAGATAGGTCTACTTAATCCCTGCAGGTCCACTTATACCTCACCGACGTACCGGATGAGTCCACTTAATCCCTACCGGCGTCCCAGATTATACCTCACCGGCGAACCGGATGAGTCCACTTGCATACTTAAATTATTTCGAAATCTCTTTAAACATTCGAAAGCAGCAATATCATGTACTCAACATATCACTGAAACCATTAATAT